TGGAGATAGGATTCCGCTTTGTTCCTCTTGCGGAAAAAGGCGGTTCTCAAAATCTGGACACTCCAAGGGTTTGGTTTCCCGATTCAAAATGACGTAAATGACCAATGTTTGATGATGTTAGGGTCCCCTCAACAGAACTTCAAATGTTGTGAATAGACTGAGGTCAGCTACGCTACTGGATTTCTAAAGGTCAACGGACTGGTTTAGTTGGAAAAATTGACAGGAACCCAACGATAGGGGGTGTCCTGTGGAAGTTACGTTCAACTAATCCTACATAGGAGCAAACAAATCCGCACACTGATTTGAACAATGTTCCCTTGCCTTTTCCACTCAGATGCAACCTCTTACTATCCGTCCTCAACGTCTCAACACACTCAACGCAGCAGAAAAACCGGCGCAGTCAGCAAAAAGCGCTCGCTAGAATTTTGAGTTTGCGACAAAATTTACTGTCTGCATGTGTTTGTTTTGCTTTTGATTTCTGCTGCTGTCATCCGGATAAAGTTCCTGTTGAGCCTCTGCTTTTGCCAGTATGAATAGTACAAGATACGACTTTGAAGGTGCCACATTTGGTCGAAGTGATGTGATGGAATATGTGACCCCAGGGTCACAGAGAAGCTAAATGTCGACCGACTATTGACTATATAATGTTGAGTTAACAAACTATGTTGCATCGCAGCATCGCAAGATAGAACGTATCACTTCATCCCCAATCGAAACAGCTAAGGATTTGCCCATGACCTGTCTGGGTCATATGAATGTGATCCATAAATTAGTCCGACAACAAAATTATATCGGTTCTGGACTAATCAATGGATTCCGTTACAGTAATATTTTATAACAACTCAAGCCAGTCACTCATCTTTTCTCTCCACATGCTGCAGGAGTAATGACACGGCCGTTTGCAGCCAAAAGTGTCAAATCAACACCCCAGGAAGAAGCAAAGGGTGGAGTGGGATATGGGAAGCTTGAGAATGGTGAAAAGGCAGTCGTTGTTACAGGATCAACAACTCAAGCCAGTCACTCATCTTTTCTCTCCACATGCTGCAGGAGTAATGACACGGCCGTTTGCAGCCAAAAGTGTCAAATCAACGCCCAACATTTTCATCCGGTTAAAAACCACTGCATCACCCATTCGTTTCAAACTTGGTTGCTTCTTCCTGGACAGAATTGGCCAGACGGTTGGTGGCATCTGCATCCTAATTAAACTCTGTACATGCGCAAGCATCCAAAGAAAAATTGCGACCCCATCAGGAATCTGTTTCAATGCATCCTTTGGCAAATGTGAGGTGAATTGAATCGCTGACACCTCCTGCACTTCTATCTCATTTATTTTGATTGTACACCATCTGCCTCTCCTGCGTGTGAGGTCTGGGTTGTCCTTCACCAGCATCAGCCGAAAGGCTCCTCCAGCAAGAAGGCTTCCCAAGTCAAGGCCCTTGGAAATACTTCGAGGCACTCGCTCCAGGCCATTTGCAGACAAAAGTTTTCGGAACCTTGATCTCATGATTTGTCCTGAAAACGGCCATAGGCGCTGATGAGAGCACAATCGGCCTAAAACCAGATATATCACGGCATTCAATTGGGGTTGATCAACTTTTGCCACCTGTTGCCCTGAGGCACGGAATCTCATTTTTGGTTCATCAATCTGCAGCAGAAAAAATTCAACGGTATACTCGATGTCTCGATGTCTCGAAATCGGACCAGTTGCTTTCGGGCAGCTGTCGTAGCTTCTCCGATCCTTGAGAGACCATCCGTGGATAACGCCAAAATTCCTGCTTCTCCCAACCATCCCCAGTAAAAAGCTGTGATAGTCATGCTAAGAGGTGCTTGCCAAAGAAACGCTACATGAGGGCTTTGAGGTTCATGTCTGACCCTGGCATAGGTCAGACCCCATGCCTGTTTCAGCATGCGCTGGACCCTTTGTCTTCTCGCGGAAACTCTATTGTTTGTCTCAGCGTAGCGGCCGTAAGGCCGTCCTGGCAAATACAAAGACTGGCCATACCTCTCAAGCTGTAAGTTGAGAAACTCAAAGTCAACCTCTGTAGGTCCAGTCAATTTTTCCAGGTACGACCCATTATCATGAAGCCAGCTGTCGAAGTCAGACGAATGTCTGTCTCTGCAGACCTGTGTCTTACCAAAAACAGGACTCCCTTCCGGAAGGTCTGATGCACCGTGCAGTGCTGCACTTCTCACATCGCCAGGGTACCGGAAGCTCAGCGCAGGGCCATGGCTCACACATGAACCTACCTGAACCTGTAGGACAAGTCCAACGGAAATCCAAAACCTGGCAGGGGCCCGCATAGACCTTCGACAAGGAGCCCAGACAGAGACACACCCGGCCCACTGAGAAAAGGTTGAGAGGAAACTGATGGCAAGTCCAAACCAAATCCAAACCAACCGAGTTGAACCGCTGACAGACAAAGGACCTCCTCCCGGGTAACCCAAAGTCGAGCCACAGTCAAACACACAGCGAAGGACGGAGTGAGATGCAGATTGGCTCAAGTAAGGAAAGTGCTTAACACTGACATGGGCAAAACGCCAACTCCGCTCAGAACCCAACCATTCCTGAAGAGACTCCTCAAAGAGAAATTCAGGAGGCCAAGCTTGTTGGGAAGGCTCAGGAATCATGTTTCCCCTAGATGGATGATCAGCTGGATTCAGACGTGTGGTGGCAAACTGGTAGGCCAGGTTTAGATGCCCAACAACGACAAAGGCCCCTGTCTTTTGCACGCAAGGTCTAAGTCCATAAGGCGGAGGGAAGCTCTTTACTGAGACAAAAAATCCAACGTTTGAGTCCAAGGCCATAACCTGAGGAAACTCTAAGTTGAAAAAGATAAGCATCTCCGTGAGGGCAGAACCAAGACGAGTCTCAAGGCCACTGCTATGCATTGGTCGCTTCAAAGTCCAAAAGGCGACTGGCCTCCAACAAGCATTGAGCAAAACCTCATTGCGGAGTGGGCCCTCAAGGCCTGCTGCCTGTGGCTCCTGGAAGATCTCAATCATTTCCAGCAACCTTTGCATTTCTTCCAAACGACGCATCTTGTTTCTGCGCAGGTGTTCAAGACGTCTTGGGGACCCTGAGTCACTTACCAAGTCATTCAAGACCAAGGCGCGCCAGACCAGAGTCGTTCCAGTCAAGGTCTCTGGGCCAAGGGAATCATAGCTAACTTGTGGGCCCTCCTTCTCAAACCTGATCTCCAAAAAGCTCTGGCTGAGTCGGGAGACATGGGACAAGGACAACACACGTGGATCGTCTCCTGACACGTCGTTTCTGTCAACAAACTTGAAACTTGCGTCTTCGTCAGCGCCTACTGCATCATTCTCAGCTGAACCAAACAACTTCCGGTTATCATATGCTTTCATGGCAACCTGGGAAAGCTGGCTAGCTAGTGATGCTTCAAGCTTGTTTGAACAGTGTTGAACTGAAACAGCATAAAAGTTCTCGATGACCGGGCCCGGAGCGAGATGCCTACCCTGGGAAAGTCTATCTGCTCTGAGCTCATCACGGTCATGCAAAAGTCCATGGCTCCTAAGCAGATTCCTATGGGCATCAACTGCAAACTCAACACCAAGACGGTCGCCTTGGAGCATATTGGAAAAGCAGCCTTGAAACATGTCAGGCATGTCTTGCCGCTCTTGTGGCCTAAGCAAACTATCAGGCTTGGAGAGGCCCACATGTGTCAAGCGGTCATACTTCTCCCATTCCAGGTTCTTTTCACACCAAGACACCAAGTCTATCGTACCCTCACGCTCTTCTCAGAAAATTGAAGGCCAGAGAGCATTAGTGGCCAAACGTTCTGGTGTGACCTTCATCTGGGAATAGAAATCCTTACCATCTGACACAAAAATGCGGACCCTGTCACCAGCTAGCCTCAGCTCAAGGTCGGCCCGCATCAAAGCCGGTGGGAAGCACTGGGAGGCACCCGGGATGGTGCCCTCGACAAAATTCTTCGACCTGGGACTTTTGGTCAAACGATCTAAGTCCAAGTTCTTATGGCAATTGGAGAACTTCAAGGAGAGGTCAGCTTCCTCTTCCTGCAGGGGCTCATCACGCAAGCAAAACAAACCTTTGGCATCCCAAATCATCAACCAGCCCCTTACTGCCTGATAATCTTCTTTGTACAAGTCGGGCGCATCAGGAGTCCTTTGGTTTCGTGTCCATCTCACAAAAACAGATTCGCAAAAAGCCATCCTTAAAGAGTCTGACATGTGAAAAGGAGGACCCCACTGAGCACTTCCGGCGATCTTCAGGCGGTCTAAATTCAGGCTGCTGCAAGGTATTAATTCAGGCGCTCCAAACAAATCGGCAGGCACATGCACAAGCGACTCCAAGGACTCTTCGGAACCTTTGAAACCGCCAGAGTAGGACGCACCAGCATGGCCCTCCCAAGAAACCAGGTCACTTAAGTCAGCCAGCTGGAAAACCAAAAAAGAACATTTTCGGCCACTGAGAGGGATCTGGAACTTATCCTCACAGCTACCGAAAGCCTCGACCACATTCCAAATTCCATCAAGGACTCTCGCTTGAGGAGAAGAAAGTGCCAAAGTCAACTGAGAGAGAGGGGGAAACTCGTAACCGAAATACCAGAGATTCAAGGCCATCAAAGTGATATGAACCACCTGGTCAAAAAATCTCCTCCACTTCTCTCTGGACCCCGCACCGCTAGAAACTGTAAGGACTCCTTCCTCAGGCAAGGGGATTGGGAACAAAGCTTTTACAGAAGCCTCTTCGGGCATTCTGGTCATGTGGAGAGTTTGCCACAGGAAATGGGCAAGTGGAATGCAGCTGCGGAGCACTTGACGACACAAGGTGGAAGTCCAACGCAGGAAGGACAAGGTCTGAAGTGAAGACCAATTAGGGGGCGGATCTTTGGCCACAAGTCCAGCGGCCTCGCAGGGGAAAAGGAAAACCAAATTCCAAGAGGTTAGACTAGGCCTTGCCATTGGGACGATCCTGAGGGAACAAGGGCTCAGCTTTGTGATGCCCAGTGAAGCTTGCTTCATGCAGTCTCTGTTGAGCTCTGCCCTCCTTGTGCTTTTGGCTTTCGAGGGAACGTGGGCTGCTTTGGCTTCTTTGTAGGGTCGGCTGCTTCCTCCTCCTGCCTCCCACCACCTTGCTTCTTGGGAAGAGCCTCCTGTCTCCTGCCGGAGAGAAGATCCAGCTCCTTGACGTAGGCAAGAGCTATGGCTCCCCAGTCGGCAGGGCACAGGGGGCTGAAGGCCCTCAGCCTGGGGTTCGTTGCTATGGGGCGGTGAGCAAAGAGCTGCTGGGGGGGATCTTCTTGAAGTGCTAACACCCATGCTATCTCCCACTTGCCATTGTCCATAGCACTCTGCTCTATTGCTACCATCGCCAAGGCCAACATCTCCTGGGCGCCCTTCACATCTCCTAGCAGCATCTGATCTGCTACGTGACCCAGCAGCCACATGGTAAGCCCTTGCTCTCGTTGATAACCTGTGTATCCTCCCTGTAGTTCCAGGTACTTGGTGAAGAGGGCCTTCTGGGGAAACTCCTCGAGGGCTTGGGGCACCGCTTCTGCGGGCTTGAGACGCCTGTGGGCGTTCTGTGCAACCTTCAAGAAGAAGTCGCTGCGCCTGGCGGCCAGGTCTGAGAGCAAACGTTCTCGCTTGGCTGAACCTTTCAGGGAGATGCTTGAAGAGGCTGATCCTGATACCCCTAGGTCGTGAAGTCCATCCTGACTTGCAAGATGAGCCACAAGGGAGTTGAGGGCCACTTGCTGCTTCACCAGCATCTGTGACACGGTATGTTGTTGCTCCTCGGGTGGGACATCCTCCAACTCCTCCAAAAGCCCCTGGGGCTCGTCCTCTGGCATCTCCTCCACCTTCTGGGGCTTCTGAGGGCTCCTCAACTTTGGGGGGGGACCAACCGCTGCGAGAAACTTGGAAGGAGGGGGAATGGTCCTTTTGGGAGACTGACCTGTCTGACCAAAATCCAACCGATGAGGAGCAGGGGGAGGGGCTGCCGGACGACGGGACAGGGCCTGTTCCAGGCTGTCTTGTCTCTTCTGCATCTCGACTAATGATGAAGATAGGGCTGGAATGGACTCGGCTAGAACAGCCAGCTGTTGGGAGAGGGTCGCAGTGGAAACTCTCTTTGGGGCTGCTGCTGCCTTCTGCTTGGCTTTGGCCGTTGCTTGCTTCGGGACTCCTCTGGGGTTTTCTGGGGGAAGCTCCTCCATAGCCGAGTAGTAGCCTACCCTGCCTTCCTGCTCCTCTTGAATCCAGGCATAGGTCGCGGTCAACAACTCCTGGGAAGAAGGGAAAATGTCCACATCTCCTGTCGAGAAACAGTGGATCCCTGGCCCCTCGGTGACCGGGTCTAACCGCCGTAGCTTGGGAAGGATGGCAACATCGAAGTCCACCAGCATACATTGAAGCTGCAAGTCTAAATGTTTCTCCAGGCTTTCTTCGTCGTCCGCAGCGGCTGTCACCAAAATCTCCTTGACTGGTCCTATCAGTGCCTGAGGCAGAGGAGGATCCACAGGATAGGCCACCTCTGGAGGAAGGGAGTCGGCCGGCAGAGCCATCAGAACACCAGAGCTCCGAGAGAGCACAGGAATAGCCAGAACCTCCATGGAAGGGAGAGTCGAGTCTGTTGCCGCATCTACTACCTCCGGGAGCTGCACAACATAGGTAGGGACTGGCCCTTGGTCGAGAGTTCGGACCTCCTCCAAGCTCCGAAACACTTCCGTAGGTGCCTCCATCATTGAGACCTTTGTTCAGGAAAGTCAACTTCCGCGGCCAGGCAGTACACCTTTCCCTCTGCCAGTGAGGGGAATGAGTGAGAGACGGAATCAGGCGTGAACCTGGGAATGAGTTGAAAGTATTCTGAAGAGGTAGATACCCTGGTGGGGCGAGAGATGCCAGGAGCCCGCAAGATGACGTAGACAGTGGGCCTCTTGTCAAGCTTGGGGGTAGGCCTAGGACGGTCGATCTGTCCTGTGAGAGTGGCCTTTGCCCACAGACCAGCTTCCCAGGCTCTCTGGGTTCTGGACCTCTTCTCCTCAGGGGGGCACTGCAAAGTGGCACAGATTTGGTGACAAGCAGGAGGGGCAGCAGTAAGAAGCTGAGCAATCTCGTCGTGGCTTGAAACGCGGGAAGCTGAAGGTCCAGAAGAGGCCCCAGCGGAAAACGCAGAGATAGCAGATGCCTCTAAGTCCAATTCCAGTGAGGCTACTGTCACAGGGGCCTCAGGGCCAGCAAAGGCAGAGGATACGGCCTCAGCTCCGTCCAAGGCAGCCTCAAGACTGCTGGCAATAGCTCTAAGGCTGGCAACCGCACTCCTAATGGCGCTGACCAGTATGGAGTGGGTGCTCATACAGATAGGCAAGAGCCTAGAAAGAGCCCTGGGGCGACAAGTGGGTAGAGGAGGCGGTGGAGTGACAGAAGAGTTGTGGAAAACCCAGGAAAACAGGTAAAATCCAAAACCCGAAGTCGAAACCACCCCAAGACACAGACCAGACAGGGACAAGGCCAAACAGGCAAGGAAGGGATGCACCACAGTGAGCCGGGCAAACCAAACCGAACCTGAAGGTACCTGAACCTAAGGCCACAACCCTCAAATCCACGTCGAACCAGGGGGGCATGAAGCTTGAGAATGGTGAAAAGGCAGTCGTTGTTACAGGATCAATTTGTCCACTGACTATTGTCATAATCCAAAAAAACATAGTCCATAACTATGGAATGTAAAATTACGATGGACTGCTGTTGCCAGCAAAGCCGTTAGGCCATTGCCAGGGTGGGTCCAATAGCCATTATAGACATGAATGAATATTCACACATATATGATGCATAATGTATGTATATATATATATATGTAATGTAATGTAATGTAGTGTAGTGTAATGTATTCTGCTGTGCTGCAATGTACTGTAATCTATGTCTATACGGTGTATAGAGAGATACTTGGGGATGGGTCAAAACCTATTATCACCATATTTTGAGGAATAAACATCCATATTTCCAGCTATAACTTAGGGTACCCTTTGGGCACCGGGCTTTTGACCCATAACCACAGCGTCCCAGCGTTTTTTGGTTTGAACTCGGAGAGTCACCACGATCCGGGATCCGGATCATTTTGAGGTTTTAGCCCCAAATGTACAGTAGGGGGGTCCTGTGAAAGTTACCACGTCTGGGAATTTATAGATATTCATGATAGCTATGATTATATTATATATATATATATATGTACATAGTAGTAATCCCAAGAAAAGAGAAATGCAATATATATATATATAGACAATATATCGCTATTTCACGATTGGATATTACTGTTCTATCTGTTTGGCGAAACTCAGGCAGCTGTCGCTACCTCTCATGATATTCTATATTGTTGGCAGTGTCAACTGGTTGCAACTTGTCCTGCCGATCCCAAGAATGGGGATATGGTGATTCAATGGAATATGAATGGGACATAATGGGACAAATGACGATGATAACCTGCAACTTTATGCTATTTGTTGTTTCGTAGCAATCTGAGTGTGTGTTGGTCAGCATCACCTAAACTGCCACGAAAAGTGTTGAGTATATTAATATGTAGAAGCACGAATTCCATGTAAGCAATCTGGCATGGGCGGCAAAGTCTCCAATTTCAACAGGTCATGCGAGATGATTGAAGGATGTCTCCAGCTTGCATCAAAAAAGTCTCGGGGAGAAATAAAACATCGACCCAAAGATACCCAAAGTGTCAATTCGTTGAAGGGAATCACAAAAATCACAATAGTAGAAGTCAAACCTGTAACCAATCGAGCCAACCATCTGGGATATCGACGTCGGTAAGTGGTTTTCCTAACCATGGTGAGTTGCCCGCTGGGAGGAACCGTGAGGAACCCCCACTAATCCAGTTGACATCGCTCTGTGAACAAACCGTATCCAATTACCACGATGAACATCCGATCAGCCGTCACAGGTTCGCGTCTCGACAATTTTGGAGTACCTTTCTTTGAAACCCATCGCTCCATGGTGCCATACCAACATTTACCTCAAAATTGCCCTGTCTCCGAATATACCAGCACCAAACTGGGCAATGCGGCAATCCGTTCCGTTCGATTCGTTTTTCGGCGTCGCACTGGTCGCACTGGTCGCACTGGTCGCACTGTGCAGGTGCCGCTCTACCCCCTATGGTCCGCTGTACCTGGCAGGTGCTGTGTGATACGGTCTGGCGTTCCCCACCGGAACCCATTCCAAAAAGGTCCGCTTCCGAATTAGCTTGATTGGCACGTCCTCCGGACCCACCGATGTGGCGAGTGGCGATCTATAGCCATACGAAGGGCCAAAGCTACACGAGATACCAGAGATATGGGGGGTCTCAGACTCATAGAAATTCGGTGCCCAGATCGTTTGACCCGGAGGGGCAAGAACTACCTGCAAAATCAAAGGGGGCAAGGATGGTTCCTTCTCCAAGCTGGTCTGAATCAGATCCTCCAAGTTGTCTTCATCCCTCAAATCCCACAACTCCTGTGACTGAGTCAAAGATGGATCTGAAACGTATCTGAAGGTGTACTTCTCCAGATGGTGTTTCACTTTCACTTTCTCCAGCTTCTCTTCGATCGCAGGCCACGCATCCTGCACTTGAAACTCGGGCCAGTTCTCTAGAGTCGTGTGAATCTCCTGGGAATGGCAAGCTGGCAACATAAGAATATAAGGATTCAATGTGTTTTCATTTGTTTAATTATTTGTTTAGTGTCTTCATTTGTTTATGTGTTTATATATAAGTTTAGTTGGTTTGTTAGTTGGCTAGTTGGCAAGTCGGTCAGTCAGTGGGTCAGTCAGCGAGTCAGTTGGTCATTATAGTTGATATAGGTATTAGTTGTTGTTTATGTATGCATATCTACATATTATTCACCTATTGATGTGTGTCCTGGCTAAATGGATAAGTCGGTTAAGTCAAAAACAAATGTTACCCTGGTTCACCAAAATAGTCATCCCCTGACCCCGACTGGAAAGACGACGACTGGTGACGAAAGCTATCCGGATGTGA